CGTTATGCCTGCTAATTTTTAGCAAAATCCGTTCATACTCACGAATAACCTTCCGTGTATTGATGTTAAAGGATGAGAGAAATATGCTGTAGCTGTTTAAATTTATTTCATGTTCATTTCCCAAGTACTTTCGATTTTCTTCATCTTCAGTGGTGCAAGTAGTACCAATCTATATGTTGTTCATCAATATAAGTATTTATACAAAGTTGTGCGTTGTTATCCATTAACTGTTTTTTTCATTATGCTTTTAAATGCACAAGGGATGACAATGCGCTGACCTTTCATTAGAACTTGAAACAATTACCAATCGATAACACAACTATCCTACACCATGAAAACAACAAATTTAAATTACAGATACTAGAAGTAATTCATATATAAAAATTAAAGCCGCATTGAACAGAATCACCTATGAATATTTCAATAATGTTCTGAAATGCCTGTAAAGGAACATTTTTTTCACGCTTTAATGCGCGTATGACCATGACATTATAACAGAAAGGTAAACATTCCATAATGGATAATTTTTCGAAAGTATGAACGGATTTAAAAAAAAATTAGCAGACATAATATCTGTAATATATTCAATCATATATATATATATATATATATATATATATATATATATATATATATATATATATGTATGTGCGTGTGTGTGTGTGTGTGTATTGGTCGTTTCTGTTTGAGTACCTAATCATTTATTTGATAGCTGACCTTGCTTCATTACCTATCTGCAGCAGTTGCAGATGGGGTATTGTAAGCCGTGACGACAGTGTACTTTTTAAACAAAAAATTTATTTAAATTTGAATTCGAAACCATGTTTAAATGTTCGATCCAGATGCGAAATATTTCCTTTTTTATTATTATTATTTCACCTAAAGCAAGGCAATAAAGCCACTAAGACGCAATGGGGTTACTGAGTTTGACAGAAAAAGTTTAAAATTTTTAAAGAGAGTGAACAATAAAAGAACAGGAATCAAAGCAGAATATGACAATTTATATTGCATTTAAATCTCCTTCACTGGAAAGCGAGAGGCCAGAAAAGTGATCCAAAAGTGAGAAGTACGGAAGAAGGAATTTTTAGCATAGAACTTACGGTTATATGTAGCCATTTAAACTGGTTTAAACAACCATTTCCTACCACAGGAGCTTATTATGCCTTATTAAATTAGATAGGTTCGCCTATTGTCCTGTTCACACTCCTCCCCTTTGAGCAGGATTAGCGGTTTGCTCCTTGTTTATTGATTTAGGATTGGGTTTCCGGTTTTCTCTTTAACATCCAGTAGCGCCTTTCGTCTTAGTGGCATTATCGCCTTGCTTGGGTTGAATTGATAAAAGGATCTCTGTACTATCTTGGATTTTGTGTCACCCTTCATAAAGCAAGTTCTTCGTTTACATAAGAGCAACGCTTTTTTCTTTGCTTCTATTTTACTTCTACGCCATCTTGGTATCTATTCTGGGAAAATCTCTTCAAAATAACTGACTGTTAGCAGATTAATTATAAGGTGTGTGCAAAGGTTTCCATTTAAAACCGATTTTCCACTAACTCGAGATTTCAAATCTAGCGCCGGTGACTTGTTCCAATTTTGTTTTTCCTCTTGTTTCTTACCGATAAATACTATTTCTTCGCGCTAAAAGCAGGTCGATCCCGTGAAACGTTTCCTAAGCCGAATTGCTGTAAAGCGAAGAAGCACTTCTCATTAATTTCTGAGCGAAAATTTTTTGAGTGTTCGCTGAGATTAAACGGGCTGCAATGATTGACTTTCATTTTAGAAAACAACACGTTTGCAAGGATGTTTTGAATGCCTAAAAAGTACTGTATAGGGTAATTAATCCACCAGAATATTGTATTTAAAGCCACCGACGTCAGCCACGGCAAGCAATGAACCCCGACATTTTGAATGTCGTGGCAGGCGCATACAGATTTTTTCCCTGGTTACACTGAACGATTATCACATATAAATTAGTAAATGGATTATTCACTTTACATTATTTCGGATAGTGGGGTGGGGGATCTACGAATATCGTTATTTATTTATTTTGTTGTTTTTGTAAAAGTGATTTGGCATAAATCGTTCTATCGAAAAGCCGAAGATACTTATAGATTACTTTTTGGCTATGGTTACACTCAAAACATTTTCCAATATGATTTAATGGTAGCATATTATTCGCCGTACATTTCGGAAAAAAACCTGTACAAATGAACTTTTTTTTTTCGTAATAGTAAAATATAAAAATCAATCTTTCGAAAAGGGGAAGATAAGTGTAATTTCTTTCGACTGATTGCTTTTTGACAAATTACTTCGTAATACAAGTTGAACTTTTTTATTCAAAAGTCTTGCGATGCGACCTTAATTCAAAAACGTGTCGTCTGTAAAATGATTTGGCGAATTCAAAATAAGAGAAAAAAAAAGAGAATTTAACAATCTTTAAAATATATATTTACTAAAATATGCTTCATTTAAAAATGTTTAAAAATGTAAGAGAAGTCTAAACCTATTTTGGATCCTGTGCAGCCCCCTCCTCAAATATAGAAGAGCACGCAGGCCCAACAAAGTGTCACTTGGCCTTTAAATAGTTTATCTATCTTAATACGTGGCGAAAGGTGATTGGCTCTCTCTATCCGTCACAGCACGTGATCTAGCCGGCGACAGAAATGAATACAAGATGTTGTTTAATAAGTTGGTATATTAATTATATAGGAGGAAAAAAAAATATTCTCGGGTCGATATTTGCAGGCATCGTGGTCTGCTGAGAAAAGTATGAGGAGAATTTTGAATAATTTTAGTCATTCGGAAAAAGAGGTCAAGGATTTCGCTTTTTTAATAAAATTTTCTTCGTTCCTGTTACGTATCACTCGTTAGACATTTGTACGTAGATACATTCATTATTTTAGTTTCGACACTTTTTCTGGCTTTTTTGTTTGTTTGTTTTTCGAATCATTCTGTGCAAAATTTCACATCATTCTTTTTTTTTTTCTTAATGAAAAAGGCTTTATGTTGTTTCTGTTTTCATAATACAAATAAAATTTGCCGCTAAGCTGACTGATATTATATTCAGCGCCACGAATCCACAGTTTCGTAGACGAATCTTTTTGTAATCGCTCGGTCCACTCGCTAGGAGGGTTCAGAAATTGTTCGCGGATTTTCTCATTTTCGTTATCTTTATATTAAATAAAAAATAATTTATATATATACAAAGACTAAACGAAGATAAAAGCTAGCTCAATGATTTCTATTCCCAGCCAGAGATCAGCACGTCAAAGTAGGATAAATCTATGGAATCCATTTATGGTTACATATCTATCTATCTATCTATCTATCTATCTATCTATCTATCTATCTATCTATCTCGGCCTGTTCTTATCTATCTATCTATCTATCTATCTATCTATCTATCTATCTATCTATCTATCTATCAGCGTGTTCTTTCTTTCTTTCTTTCTCCCTTCTATCTATCTATCTATCTATCTATCTATCTATCTATCTATCATCTATCTATCAGCGTGTTCTTTCTTTCTTTCTCCCATCTATCTATCTATCTATCTATCTATCTATCTATCTATCTATCTATCTATCTATTTCCAGTGCGAATAGGCACGCTCGAAACTGGCTGCCGTAACTGTTCATGAATATACTGGATAATGGTATGAAACATACACCCCCCATATATATATATATATATATATATATATATATATATATATATATATATATATATATATATACAAGTTGAGTGAGATATGATTTTACAATTTTTAGTACATTGCTTTCGTTTTGCACGATCTAGCTTCCTCCTTTTCCATATCTCTCTCCCTTTCTCTCTCTCTCTCTCTCACTTTCTCTTTCTCTATGTGGTGAGAGAGAGAGAGACTGAGACAGACAGAGATAGCGAGTTAGAGAAATAAAAGTGGAGAATGAGAGATATCTTTCATTATATTTTTCTGTATTCGTATACTTTCCACAGCACGTCTTCCTATTACATATTACATATATATGCGTGTCTGTGTGTTTGTGCGAGTATGTGCGTGGGTTTGTGTGCGTGTGTCGCGCCCGTGCGACTGTGTGAGCACATAAGCGTATATCGATATGTTGTTGAGTGTATTCACGTAAAAATAGTTCCCTATGTATTCTTGGCAAAGTCTGGCATAAGACTACCGCATTAAAGTTTAATGCATACATACATTACACGATCAAACATTTTCAATATTACTCCCCTAGATTTCTCACCAAAAGAAAGCACCACTGTTTCGTTCTCGGATACACCAAAAATAACCCCCCCATATATATATATATATGCGTGTGTGTATATGTGCACACACACACACACATATATATATATATATATATATATATATATATATATATATATATATATATATATATATATATCAAAGTAATTAGGCATACGTGTTTCATTAAATAGTATAGACAACTTTTGTCTATTTTAAGCCAAATCCTTTCGTAATGTCTGATAAACGTAATAACATTATCATTGAAAGACGAAAGAAAATCACCATGTTATGAAAGGATGTTACTTAAAATAAATAGACAAACTTATATATATATATATATATATATATATATATATATATGCACTCAAAAATAAAGCAAAAAGAGAACGAAAAAGAAAGACAAAGATAATTAAACCTAAAAGAAAAGGAAAAGAAAGAAAGTATGAATGAAAAGAAAGAAAACCAAAGTGATAAAAAAGACTTCACTTTAAACAGTTGGTTTGCATATTTTGTAATATATAGTAGATGTGTTGGAAGAGACAACTGGTATTGTCAGTCGCACATTCTTAGAACTACTAGTATATATATATATATATATATATATATATATATATATATATATATATATATTATATATTTATGTGTGTGTGTGTGTGTGTGAGAGAGAGAGAGTTTTGTTTGAAAAATACGTATTTTCCTTTTCCAATGTGAGTTGAAACAGAAGGAAGCAAAAAAGGAAAGGATGTGCATCGACAAGTTCAACGGAAAAGGAGAGAGCAAAAGAAAATCAGGTAAATGAGATTTGCTGATAATGTGAAGAGGTATAAGAGAGAGAGAGAGAGAGAGAGAGAGAGAGAGAGAGAGAAAGGCAGAAAGATGCAAAATGAGGAGAGAATGAGAGAAGAGAAGAACACATAATGAAAAATGGAGTAAGGAGAAAAGTTTGAACGCCTAACATAGGGAGGGAGATTGCGAGAGTGAGAGTGAGAGTTAGAGAGATAGAGAGAGAAAGTGTGAGAAGAGTTCGTGCCGGGCTGCAAAGGTCGCGTCCGTATGCTAATATGCCGGTATGCTTATGCGCGTGAATGCACGTGTGTGTGTGTGTGTGTGTGGATGTGTGCGCGTGTGTGCGCGCTAGCGCGTGCTTGCTAAAGATTACTATAATAATGCTGATGGTGATATGATGATGATGATGATAACGGTGCCGTTCATGTCGAAGCTTGCACTGCCGATTGTGTTTACTAATGACGACAATGATGATGATGATGATCGTAATGAAGACGACGCCGAAAGAAGGCCTTTGCACAGAACAGAATGAAAATGTCGAGAATGCTGAGGTGGTGGTCTGGGGTCTGGAGATGTGAGTCTAGAAGAACGCTATTCAAAACGCTGGACAGGAGGAAGCCAGGGAAGAGACGAGAAAGGAAGATAAAAGAAGGGAGGGTAAAACTAAAAATAAAAGCAAGGGAGCGCAAAGATGATACAGAGAGTAAAGATAGAAACAATAGATAGAAAAGATAAAGGTAGAACTATGGACGAAAAGGATGGAAATTTTTATAAGGAAAAGTAGAATGGTCAGGAATTAGATAAGAGAGGCGAAAATTGGCGAGTAAAGATATAAAAGGAGAGTAAGGAGTAAGTGAATCAAAACTGAACGAGAACAAAAGAAAAAGGAAAGTGACGTAAGAGAAAAGCGATAGCGGTAAAAGAAGAGCAAGAATAGTGAAGGAAACTAAACAGAAAAAGCAAACAAAAAGAATTGGAAAAAATGAGGAACAATATGAAGTTAGGAGAAGGCAAAGGTTTCAGGAGAAAAAGAGAGAAGATCGAAAAGGGAGAAAATATCATGCGAAAAAGATAAAGAGAATGAAAAACCAGAAAGAAAAGTGACAGATAAGCAAAGAGAAAGATAACGAAAGAATCAGAAGAATAACTAGGAAAAGGGGAGGGGGGCGAATGGTAGGAGAAATATGAGAGTAAGAAGAAGGAAAAGATTCAAGGTAAAAGTTAAATAAAGAGAGGAAAAGGAAGAGAATAAGGGGAGAGTAAATTATATAATAAGAAAAGAGAGAGTAAGTGGAGAGTAAGTATAAGAACAGGAGAGTAAGTATAAGAAAAAGAGAGTAAGAAGAATAAACTGGAGAACAAGGAGAATAAAAGGGAGAGTAAGGAGAAAAAGAAGATATTAATGTGAAGAAGATTAAGAAAATGGTGAATAAAGAGGATAAAAAGAGAAAAGAGAGATCAAGATTAAAAAAGCGGATAAAAGAAAGCTTAAAATGAATAAAGGGAAGGGTAAACTGATTAAGAAAAAAAGAGAGTGTAAAGAGAGAGAAGACGGAGAGAAAAGCGAATAAGAAGAGGGCAGTAAAGATATTAAGAAGCGAAAGTGGAGAGCAAGGTGAATGGGGGTGGGGAATAAAAGAGAAAGTAAATAAAATAAGAAGTAAAAAAGAAGATTGAAAAAGGTTTAAAAAGAAAAGTGAAAATTGAGAACGGCGATACGGAGAGTAAGGAGATAAAACTAACGGGAGAGCAAGGGAAATGAGGAGAGAAAAAATCGAGAGTTAGTGGAGAAAGTGAGAGTGTAGATATAAAAAAAAGAAGGTGACCCCCCTACACCCCCCAAAAAAAGAACCTAGAAAAAGAAAAGAAAAGAAAAAAAAAGGAAAATAAAGATTTGGAATGGAATGTAAGAATCAGTCAATGAGAAGCGAGGAAAGATCTCGGATCGACAACCAACATCTAGTCGAAAAGAAGAGTCAATGCTAAAGCAGCGAAGACGATACAATGGTAAAACTAACAATAATAAAAAGAAGAAAAAAAAAAACTAGAAGGAAATAGATTGCAAATAACGATAGCCCCATATGAAGAGCAAGGATGCAAAACAGGATTAAGGAGAGTACATATGGAAAAGGATTGAAAAGCAAGAGAGGATTTTGCTGGAGTTGTAGTTGCGGTGAGGAGTTCATTACAGCGAAAGCTATGTGTTTGCCTTGTAAAAGACGAAAGAAAAGCCGACTAGGGAAGGACTGAAAGGAGGGACGGCGTGGTACTGGGGTGTGGAGATTTCTAGATGAAAAGAAAGGAGAGCTTGGCAGCGGTATCGGTTTCGTCCGTGGATGGTAAACGCTTCGGTGCTGGCAAGGAGGAGGGAGAAATGTCCAATGCTAATGAAGCGTGCCGAAAAATATTGGCAGTGATAACGAGTAAAGTGAGGATAACAGAGAGAAAGTGAATTTAAATTTGTCGAGACAACCATAATTTGCCTTTGTGAAAAATTTGTTGAGCGAATATGACTGTTCATTATTTTTCAAACTTTTGTGAATCTGATAGCAAATGTCTTTCGGCCCCAATCCCCACGTGGAAGAGGAAAGAGAAGGACAAAACGCGATAAGTTGGAAAATAAACAAAATGGAAGAAAAAGATGAATGAGAAACGCCGGACGAGAAACATTTTTCATGGAGCGGTAAGATAACTTTTTCTTTAATTTTTATAGGTACTGAGAATTTCTTAGCCTGGTCAAGAAGCCGATCTACAAAGAAAACACAATTGATATTTGGTTATCTTTTAGGAAATAGGTCTGCGCAAATATCTATCTATCTATCTATCTATCTATCTATCTATCTAATTTTGTTAATCTCCAATTCAGATGTGCGAGCGGTACAATATATCGCTACTCGAAATGAGAAATCAGAGAGCCGAGTTCAAATTCCAGCTGGGCTCGTTATATTCACTTACGCGTTAATACCCTTGGGAAAGGCATGAATCCAATTTCTTCGCCAGCTATGGGTTAAATAGTAGTATTAAAAATAATCTGGAAAAAATCATTGTTATTCGCAAAAGATTGTTAACGCAATATTCGCTTGCAAAAAAAATAATAGATTCTTATTATCCAGAATACATTTCAGTATTAAATAAAGGATGGATAAACCGTAAAAAACAAAATCAATCATAGTTTAGTCGATAATACGTAAAAATATATCAATCTATTTTTATTTCAAAGCTTTCCCGGCGTATCACAGATTTGTTCCTGTGTCTGTGCGCGCGTGCGTCTTCTGCTGAGATGATCACATATTTCGAAAAGTTCGGTGTTCCAGCATCGATAAGAAAATAAAAATTGACTCTCTCCTCATTTAGAATATTGGCGAAACATGATCTTCCTACTCAATTTCTATATATATTTGTGCTTTCTCTGTTAATGGAATTAAACACTGCGTTCACGCGAGTGTGTGCGTTAAACAAGCGGGTAAATGATTAAATTTGCTAAAATGTAATACAAGAAACGCTTTCCAGATTTAAAGTAAAATGATACACACACACACACACACACACACACACACACACACACACACACATATATATATATATATATATATATATTTCGCCTCAATTTTTTTTAAACCTTATATTGAAATATATTGTTATTTTACTTTCTTTCTCTTTTAATATGAAAATTTTTTCATCTTTTTTCGTTTTTTCACTTTCTGTTCTTTTCGTCTTGACAAATTGGCTCCATTTATTAAACAAAAAAAACTTCGGTTTGAAGAGATGAATATTTGTATATTCATGAAATAAATTATAACTGAATGGATTTTTAAGAAGCGCCTGGACTCATTATATTTGCTCTGTTCTTACATTGAGCTCTCTTTGGATTCATGTCCTCCTTGGAATTATCCTATTAATTAACTGATATTATATATATATATATATATATATATATATATATATATATATATATATATATATATATGTGTGTGTGTGTGTGTGTGTGTGTGTATTTATAGTAAAGGTATATTTAGCCAGCAACCTTTCTTCTAAATATGTTATATTGAATATGACAGACAGAGAAAATTTAATTAATTGTTTATTTAGTCTTCCCTGCAAACTTCCATTTTTTTTCGTTTCGGAGGTATAAGGGAATGAAAAAAAATGTCTGTATCGTCCTTCATGTTTGACTGTTTAAGATGTTTTATTTGTGTGTGCGTTTTTTCCGCGCTTCTCGTGTTGAGCCCGACAGGGATTCGAGTGAGCATCTTTCTATTTCTTAAAAAGAACAACTTTCAACACAACATTGACACTGTTAAATAAGATGAAATTGATAGTGGGAGCGAGATGTTTAATATACAAGGTCTCTCTCAACGAGAATGTTTCCGTTAATGTCATTTATATAGAATTTTAGTGTTTCCGACCAGAATTTTTCTTAAGGGTTCGCGTACTGCTCTCACAACACGCTATGAGAAAAAGGTAACTTATTCTTGTTACCAGAGAAAATTGACAACTCACCTGATAATGATATTAATCGAAAATGGTCAGGGAAAACACCACTGTGGACAATTTTTCACAGTCACCGAAATAGAAAACGTTTAAGGACACAAGAAAAATTGAAGAAAAAATCGACAACGAAACATTTCAGAAAAGAAAGAATAACAGGCCGGTTTTAACAATACATACATATAATAAGATAAAGAATGAAAAGGAACCTTTTTATCAATCTAACGTGTTACACTTTTTCATCAAAGAATGAGATAAGGAATACACAATATTTAAGATTTTTCAATTAGGCTGAGAATCCGTTAATTTTTTTTTTTTTTTTGGCGGGGGGACTTCGAAAGAACGTGTGGTCTCTCCTTGAATTCGAATAGACATGAAACATTTGTAACCAATGAAAACCAGAAAGCACAAAAGTAAAAATAGCAGAATTTCTTTTTCACTATGTCTCATTCTCTGATGAATCTTTAATAAAGTGAAAGAAATTAGCTTCCTATTTGTTTTTTTATCTCATCATTTTGTCGGATTCCGATCCATATTTTTTCTCAAGTCACACACACACATATTTATTTGCCAAGCGTAGCTTAGATGTGGCACAAGGCCCAATGTATCGATAGAATAACCAGTGAGGATCGAACTCACTATTCTCTCGTAACTGTTTTAGCAAGACAAGCTTGCAAACCATTACAACACCTCGAAGTGCCACGTACACGCGCAGACATATATAGTTAATTTTCATGTAGCATTATTCTCAATTTATATACGTATATGCAAATTATAAATTTGAATTCAAATTTGCTTAGCGTTACCTCTTTTTCTCTTTACCAAATCAAATTGGGAGTTTTTAAATTTGAACCAGAAAAATCTTTTTTTCTGCAAAGTAAAACATTTAGAGAAATATATTTTACTAAATTTATATGCAAGTAATTCTTTTATGGGTTAAATTGCAGCGAAATAGAAGTGGGTGCAAAGGAGAAAAAAAAAACTGAAATTTTCGTCCTAAACGATTGTAGAACTCATCCATCGCCTATGTGTGAACTGCTGGGCACATATGGCACTCGATAAGAATTCCAGGGTTACCTGCACTGCACATGATAATGCATTTCGTTATACAGTGCGTTGGTATAAGAAACTAAAATATTTTTTACATTTGCTTTCGAGACAGGTGTATATCATCAAAATTGGAATGAGTAAATAAAGTGTGATTCCTTATATAATCAACGATAAGACATATATATATATATATATATATATATATATATATATATATATATATATATATATATATATGTGTGTGTGTGTGTGTGTGTGTGTGTGTGTGTGTGTGCGCCTGCCTGACGACTGCGTGCAGTAGCGCGCTCTAAACTGCAGTGATGGATCAGGGTCATATGTAGGCCAGATTATTGATATATATATATATATATATATATATATATGGAAGAGAGATGGAAAGGTTATATGTAGCCAGGTAGAGATAGATAAGAATAAATAGATATAGAGTAATTTATGTAAGTATATATATATATATATATATATATATATATATATATATATATATATATATATATATATGTATTAAAAGTATCTCTCGAAGAGACCGTAAGGTTGAAAACGATAGTCCTGTATTTTAATTGACCTCCTGATTTTTTAAGGTTAAAACCTCGGCATGTTATTTTATTTTTTACTTATTTTTTTTTCTAATATGTATTGAGCACTTTTAATACTACTGTTTCCGGGTCTGATTCAACTCTGACCATTAACCTTTATATATATATATATATATATATATATATATATATATATATATATATATATATATATATTATATGATTAAAAGTGAGATAAAATAATTTTATTTCAAATCATTGTATTTTCCACCGTAAAATACACGCTAAATTTCTCATACCAGTTTATGGCTAACCGCTAATCCTGTAGAAAAAGATTTTTTATCAAAATTTTGATGATTCTAAAAAGGATTAAAAAATATAATTTTCCCATCACAAAATACTTTTGATCTTTCCTTTAAGCAATTACTTAAAAATTTGTGCGATAAATGTTTGTTTTTTTTATTAAGTTTGTGGTATTTTATATGATTTATGCTCATTTATGCTTTTACAGAATCTTTGAAGGTATATAGACATACATGCATGCATACATACACACACACATATGTGTGTATGTATATATATATATATATATATATATATATATATATATATATATATATTATATATATATATGTTTATATATATATATATATATATATATATATATATATATATATATATATATGCATGTTTGTATGTATATGTTCTACATATGTGTATATGTCTGCATACATAACACACACGTGTCGAAATACAGAATAATGTAAACCTACACGCAGGTTATTATCATATCAGTTGTAGCAGTAATTCTTTGAAGCATGTGACATTGAGGGAAATGGTAGCATGATCACCGACGGTGGAGCTGTTGAACTGGTTATCTAATAAGAAAAAGGCCGGCTGTTGAAAGCGTGTGAATCGCGTAGAGAACTTGTCATTGAAATGAAGAAGAAGAAGAAGAAAAACAGAAGATAGAATAGAACAAAAGAAAGATAGCATGAAAGATTGAAAAATTGAAAGAAAAAAAAGTGAAAAGAAAAAATAATTAATGAATGAAGGAATGAGTAAAAGGGATGCAATTATCAGATATATTGTTTTGTGAGATAATTAAGAATTACGGATATTATATCATATATATTTTCTTATATATCTTTAAATTTTAATTACGAAGCATAAATTATATTTACAATAGAGACGTCTAATTATTTTCTCTCGAACTTTTCTTTCCCCCACTTCATTTCTGTCCCTATCTGCTTCAATCATTAAACAAGGTTTGAATGAACGGTAAATATTTCTTTGCACATTATACGTCCCTAAGTTATTTTTCTACATTGGAGCTGGTATATCGAAGTGTTCCTAAAAATAACATTAGAAAACAAGCACACAC